TCCTCCTCCTTCTCTTCCTCGCGTCCCTCCCCTTCCTTTCTTCCTGCTCCCTGCCCGCTGTCTCCGCCGGGCCTCTCGTCCGCCCGCCCGCCCGCCCCGCCGGCCCCTGCTCTGCCGCCTGCGCGTTCGTCGTCGTCTGCTTGCTTCTCCCCTCCCCGTCCCCTTCTGCCGGGCAGCACGGCCTGCCCGGGACCAGCGTGGCGGCGTGTACAGTCGGGGCCCTGAAGAAGGAACCCTTTTCGTTGGGGAGGGGCTCCGCGTTCCTTAAGTGTTTCGCAGCTTGCCGCAGGTTGTCATTATGGTTTCGATCGGAAATCGAAGTTTAACTGATGGAACAAAAAGGGGCCTCGTTCCTTATGTTTGGTTCCTTAGGTCAAGGCCCCGACTGTAGGGCTTCAGCCGACAGCTGGTGTGCTACGGCTGCTTGTGAGGCATCCTCGCTGCGGCTTGCCAGGCCTCTCGCGGAGACGTCCAAGACGGCCCGTGGGGCCGCACACTGAAGAAGAAGCAGGTCGGTCGTCTGGTGTCGTGGGGGTGAGGGGCGGGCGGGCGCGGGCAGCGGACCAGGATCTGCAGCGTCTGGGCAGAGAAGTCGTGCGGAGGTCGTTCCCAGTGTTCGGCCTCGAGTCGCCAGGCCCTGGGACAGCAGACATCGGCCACGCGCAGAGGGGGGCAGGGGGAGGCGGGAAGACTTCTCAGAAGCACCCCTGCTTCAGGCTTCTTAGAAGGCGCGGGCCTGGTCTGTGATTGTACAGCCAGCGCCTTCTCAGAAGCGGCCTCCACTGGCGTCCCAGTCATGGCACTTCATAGTTCGCACTCCATGGATTGCATCCCGCATATGCTTCACCAGAGTGTTCTCAGAGTCATTGCTTAGGCACCACGTCCTGCATCATAGATGGATACGTGATGGCAAGCGGGATAGTCGGTTAGTCCTTGAGCTCAACGAAGAGCCAGACAGTTTGGTGTATAGCCTAGACCGTGATATAGGTAGCTCAGTGGATAGGATTGCTAGCTGGAGACATGCTGACACAGTGAGACAGGTAGGGAGCTGCATTGTTTCAAATAGAACTACAGGCGAGCTCGATGCGCACACTGCCAATGTGTCGCGGGAGCGTCGCGAGGCCGAAAGCTGTGCCCACCCACCACCCCAAGCCTCCTGCTCATCCGAAGGTGTGTCCCTCTCGAAGATGCTCGCGCACGCATCATCCGTCCTTTGCCTTGTCCTCTGAACCTGCAGGAGACGAAGCTAGAAGTGCCCCTATTCGTTGCAGCGCGGCCCTGTTGTCGCAGCGGGCGCCAGAGGAACCACTTCGATCCGATGGCCCGCGCACGGTGTCCGTACACTTCCGCTCGAGCCCGGCCGCGGCCGCTCGCCATGTGACGCGGGAGCGCGGTGGTCTTGGCCTCCGCGGCCACGGCCACGCGGCCCCCATGCCATGGCGCACTCCCGGCGCCGCCCGCGAGGGCGGCGCGCGGAGCAGGCCCCTGCTCGGCGCGGGCCCGGGCGGCGGGCCGGCAGAGCGCGGGGGCGGCCGCGAGGGCGGGTGCCGCTACAGCCCCCTGGCGCGGCACGAGCAGGCCGAGCTCGGGCAGCCCGAGCCGAGAGCGCCCGAGGCGCCCGGCGGCGCCGCCGCCGAGGGGCGGGCCCAGGGCGCCTCGTGGCGGGCGCTGGCGGCGGTCAGCGCGCTGCTGGTGGTCGTGACGGTGGCCTGGCTCGGCCTCCGCACGGGGGCGCTGCGGCTGCGGGCCCTGCCGGCGGCGGCGGCCCTGGAGGGGAAGGCGGGGCTGTGGTGCGCCAAGGGCGAGGGGGAGGGGCCGGCGCCGGAGCTGTGGAGGCCCGACGCCGCCGGGCCGCCGGTGCAGGTGAGGGTCAGGCAGTAAAGCACGGCAGTGTCCGCCCATCGTCTTGGACTGAGTATTCCAGATTTTGTAATAAAAGGGAGGGGGTCTGGCCTCTCCAAGTCAAGCCACTTCAGACCTCCCCCGTGGGAGAACCCTCCAAAACATCGTCCCCAGACCCCCCAGGCCTCCAAGATAGCCTGGAAGAGACCCCCCCCGAAATGAGACCCCCCTCCCTTTACTACGAAATCTGGAGTACGTATTGGCACGTGGCGCCCCCAACAGTGTTGAGTAATCAGCGTCCAGCAGCGCTCAAGTAGCATCCAATAGCCTCGCTGAAACAGCGCCCAAGAGCGACCCGCTGCGAGCAACAGCGCCCAAGTAGCGCCGTGCGAGGGAGATGCATCGTGTCCGCTGGGCGCGCGCTCGGGCGCGCTATTGGGCGCCATGGGGTCGACCAGAAGAGGTTCCGTGAGTTGCTTTCTAGAGAGTGTCCGTTTTTTACCCTCTGGGCCATGACGCGCGTGATGCCCCCTACCCTCCCCCCGCCATCCCCCCCGCCATAACGCAGCGCTCCCACCCTCAGTGCGTCTCCAGCGCTGCCCCGCAGGGCGTCCGACACCACAGTCTCTAGGGGGGGAGGGGGGCGCTTTGTTAACTTATGCCTCGCCGAGCGCGTTCCGCTGCTCGCAAAGTGTCTACCTGCTTCCTATGATATGCAATGGATCGTAACTCCACCGCGGCGGATCCAGGCCATTTGCGAGTATTTTGCGAGTAGTGGAACGCGCTCGTCTAATGCCCCCTCCCGTCCCCCCACCTCCACCCCCATAACGCTTGTTATGGCCGCGAACAACAACCAAAAACGCTCCTAAGTTTAGTCGGGCGTGACCCTCCACAGGAGGAATATTCAACCATAGCATTCAAAAAGTCGTCATCCGGGGACGATTATTCTACTATTTCTCCACTTGTCTGCATATGTTTAGACTAAGTCCTACTCTTCCTCCAAGATCCGCCTGCAGTGGGACATGCTCGACCCAATCCTACAGTGCAAATGTTTGACACATGCTCCGCGTGCGGATCATGTATCAACAAAAATGCAGGGATTCAGTATTAAAAACAACGACGAGTTCATGCATGAATTCATTCATAGATTAATCATGTATAAAACAGCATATATGCTTAACAATCCTATGGATTAAAACCTGCCCTGTAAGGTGAGGGTGGTCACGTACAACCTGTTCTGGGGCATCCTCTTCGGCCAGCACGACGGCATGGGCGGCAGCGCCGGGAAGCTGCTGAGGGAGCACGCCGCCGCCCAGCCCGGCGGCGCGCGCGGGGGGGGCGGCGCGAGGGCGGGGTGGCCCTCCGATCGGGAGCCTTGAGACGGGGGTCAAAGCAAACGGGGGTCAGCCAGGGCACCATATCCTCCTCCTCCTCCTCCTCCTCCTCCTCCTCCTCCTCCCCCTCCTCCTCCTCCTCCGCCTCCTCCTGCAAGGGGCTCAAGAGACGGGGGTCAAAGCAAATGGGGGTCAGCCAGGGCACCAGATCCTGCAGGATCCTGCGAAGACCCCCTCTGGCTGACCCGGGTTGGCGAGCCGCTCGTGGCCGCGAGGCGGCCGCGCATCTCGGCCGACCCGGGTTTGCGAAGACCTGCGTTGCAGTTTTTGTTGTTCCTGCATTGCAGTGTTTGGTTTCCTGCTGACCCCAGTCTGGATTGACCCCAGGTCAGAAGATCCCCGATCCAAGACGTGTTGGGGGGCTTCTTGATTCGAGTCAAGTCGGGTATGGCCCTCTACAGGAGGAATCTTCAAGAAGAGTGCAACATAGTATGGTGACAGCTGTGTTCCTTCTCTTCTGATCAGTTGTGACTCCTGGTTGACTGTCTTCTCTTTATCATGCAAGATCCGCCTGTGGGATGACATGCCCGACCTAAGACCTAGGATCAGGGGATCCAGACGCCATGATGAAGATACGTTCCAGGGTTACTGAGATCACCCGCTGTCCCGCACGGGCTCGAGAAACGAGGGCAGCTAGATACCGCGGACATCAGTCTCGCATCATTTTCGAATCATGGAAGGCTGGGGCCTCCTCAGAAGAGCGTCGGGGCTTCCAAGGAAGGGCTCTTAGAAGCCGGGAGGGCTTCTAGGAGCCCCCTGCCTTCGCAGAAGCTTCCTAGACTCCTCTGACAAGTCCCCCCCCCCATCCCCCCCATCGTGCCACCAACCGTGGCACGCGCCGCCAGCCAGCCCTACGACTTCCTCGGCTTCCAGGAATGCGAGGACCCCGGCCGGGTGCTCCAGGACGCTGGGCTCCTCGACGAGCTCGGCGTCATACAAGGTGACCACGCCCTCTGCCTGGTCTACAGGAAGTCCGAATGGAACGTCCTCTCCAGCGGCCAGGAGCAGGTGGGCGAGGACCAGCCGGGCAACTACTGGGGCAGGCGCAGCGTACAGTGGATGCGCATCCAGAGCAAGCCCTTCGGGAGGATAGTCTTTTTTATGAACCACCACGGCCCGCTCCAGATCGACTCCGGCGGCATCTGCGGGGGGGAGGCCACCGCGTTCAACCTCGTCGGCGTTGCCACGGCCAACGCGGTTCCCGGCGACGCCATCATCCTGGTCGGAGACTTCAACGCGCGCGTAGACTCGAAGACCATCGGCGAGCTCAGCGGGCGCCTGACCCGGCTCTACACGGGGGAGCAGTTCGGTGGCATCGATCATTTCTTCAGCAACATTCCTGCGGCTGTCCGCACAGAGAACCTCGGGAGCGGTGGCAGCGACCACGACGCGCTCTCCATTGTCTTGAATATTGGCGATGGGGAGCCTGTGAACGTCGCCCCTGACCAGCGCCAAAATGCACACCCGGAAGAGCAGCCAGAGGAGCGCCCGGCGGAGAGTCCGGAGGAGCCCCCCGCAGAGGAGCCAGAGGAGCCGCCAGCGGAGAATCCGGAGGAGCCCGCAGCGGAGAATTTGGAGGAGCCCCCGGCAGAGAATCCGGACGAGCCCGCAGCGGAGAACCAGGACGAGCCCCCCGCAGAGAATCCAGCGGAGCCCCCAAGTGAGGAGCCGCCGCCCGAGGATTCGACCGAGACCACGCTGACCACGACGACCACCTCGGCCACGTCGGCAACCACTCAAACAACGACCACGACTACCACGACCACCACGACCACCACGACCACGACGACCACTAAGACCACGACCACGGTCACTGCAGCCGCACCACCCGCGCAGCCTGTACCGCGGCCACCGCGACCAGCACCACTGCCGCATGCACAGCCCGCGTCGCCAATACCGCCGCCACCGCCACCGGCACCACCGCCGCCTGCACAGCCCGCGTCGCCAATACCGCCGCCACCGCAACCGGCACCACCGCCGCCTGCATCTCCAGCAGAGGTTTCCGAGATCGTTGTAGCAGAAGCTTGAGCCAGAGCTTTCTCGGCTTTTTTTCCAGTCTGTCCCATGGGAGTAATTGGCAAGGTTGGGGCAGTCGGACTGGGTGGAGCCAGAAATAAGTAGTATTCTGCAGATGTATTGTAAGGTCTTGCCCCGAGGTCCTGATCCCTTGATCGTGAAACTCGCGAGCCTGGTCAAGGGCCGTAGGATCTGGGCTCTACCGGGTCGGTTCTGTCCCGGCAATGGAGATGGAGTTTGTTATTGCTACTAGGCTATGTATTTCAATTGTGACGACATTGGAACATAACCACCTCAACTTGAGTTTCATGCTGGTTGGGACCGACAGGTTTGGGATCCTCGGTCTGACCTCTGCAATTCAGGCTACACTCACGACTGCACATGGAATTCGGTCCCCGGCTCGCTTATACAAGTAATCCATCCGTTAATGCGAATGTTCGTCTATCCATTAGCGGCGCAGAGCCAGGCGTCTCCTTTGACTAAGTTTCAGGGGTCCTTGCAGCGTAGCGCCTTATCAGTAGCGAGATGTGCTGTCTTCGAAAAAAATGAGCCGTTTGAAGATGCTCTGTGGACTCGGGTGCGCGCACGCGCGAGCGCCAGAGCGTGAGTGAGCCCGATCTCGCCCGACCGCCCAATCTTCCACGGATCCCTTCTGTTCCACCCGCAGTTGCTCGCTTCTCAGCCTCCTCCGCGCACCTCGCCAGAAGATCGCGCTGCGGCCTGCCCCGAGGTGGCGACTACGAGTGCCTCACGGCTGGTTTGCTGAGGCCCCTCCACGGGAACAGCGCGAGCATAGAGTGGAAAGCCATGCCAAGAAACACCTTGCTTGCCTCCAGGGTGCCCTGGGCTTCTTGGGTGGCGATGGCTTTGCGATGGAGAGAGCGTGACGTTCCCACACCAGAAATCGATGCACGTCCTGGGGTCCCAGGGTTGGATTTCTTGCGGAAGGCTTCTTGCGGATTGGCCTCCTCTGCAGCAACAGGACAGGGCTAGAATTAAGTCGGGCACGTCCTTCTACAGGAGGAATATTCAAAAACAGATTTTAACAAAAGTCTGGGAACTCTTTGTTTATTGTTTTTTTTAATTGTTTCAGCATGTGTAGAGTATTTCCAGTTTTTCGTCCAAAATCCGCCTGTAGGGGGACAGACCCGGCTTAAGGCTAGAACCATGGTGAGTACGAGCCCCCCCTCCCCCCCCGTATAACGTAACGCCCCTCCCACCCTCCCAGTGCGCTCCGGGCACTGCCGCCGTGCGCTCGGCGGGGGGGAGGCGTTACATTATACCCCGCCCTGGCCCCTCCCCGCGCCCCTTATGATGCCCATGATCGCCGAAAGTACAGAAACGCGCTCCTAAGAACCGTGTGGAGCACGAGAGCGGTGCAGCAGCCTCCGGGCCGCGCCAGGCGCACCCCCCGCGGCAGCGCAGCGGCCGGCAGTGCCCGCCCAGCTGCAGCCTGCGCCTGTCGCCCACCGCCTGCTGCGGCTCGGCGACGCCGTCGACGGTCCCGCCAGCCTTAGGTCGGGCCTGTTCCCCCTACATCAAAAATGCCTAAAAGATAGTCTCGGGACGATGTTTTCACTAGTTCTGAACCTTCTTGATCACTCTTCATTTGTCCTCCAACATCCGCCTGTAGGAGGGCACGCCCGACCTAACGCCAGCCCAGCGCCGCGCGAGCGGGGGAAGGTGGGGAGGAGAGTCTCAATTCAGAGAACAACAGAACAAAAAACATACAAAACATGATTTTGCTTCGAGCATCCCCATCCGAAACCTTAAGTGTCTGTTCCCGACGGCGCGCGGTCGCCGAATGGGTCGACAAGTGCCGTGTCTGGATTGAAAAACGGTTCAACCGCGTTCCATGTAGTCACGTTCTGTCATGTTGTTCTATTTTATTGTTGTTCTGTTCTCGACGGGCCGGTGTGACGTCGTGACGCTTGTGACGTTAGATGCGTTGTCTGTTATGATGTTCCTCTTCACTTACGGTTCTCTTATGATTGAGTATGTTGTGGTATGTACACCTCTGTCACCATGGTATGTGAATTGGTATGGTATGATACGTTATGTTATAGCATGAGTTGAAGCTGTTGACAGTTCGTCTCAGTATGTTATCTTCGGATACGCTCTGCGAGTATGGCTTGCTGCACGTTACTGACGCGGTATGATATGTTCTCGGATGTAGCCATGGAATGACCTGATGTATTATGCCATGGTGTGTTATGGCCTGATTGGTTATGTTATGTTATGTCATGTCGTCGTCTGTTCTGTCAGTTTCTGATTTGGAATGGCATGTGATATGGTGTCAGTTGACGGCTTGGCTCTGTATAGTATAGTATGATATGCGTTGCTAGTATGTGTCGCCGTGCTCTGCTGTACTGGTGTGATGTGTTATGTGATGTTGTGTCATGGTATGAAATGGTATTTCAAGGTATGTTGCGTTATGCCCAGCTATGCGATGCCGTGTTGTGCTATGTAGTCGTCTGTTATGTCATGTGTGTCTCTGGTATATTACGTGATGTTATGTTCTGCATTGTTTTGTCATGGTGTTCTGTTCTGTCATGTCCTGTCATGGTCGTGGTCTGTTCTGTCATGTTCTAGTGTGGCATGGTGTGGTCTGTCGTGTTCGACGTCGCTATGCTCTGCTGTCGTGGTATGGTATGTTCTGTGATGCTTTGACATGATATGATATGTTCTGCCAAGGTGTGTTATGGTATGCTTGGCTATGCTCTGTTATGTTGTGCTATTGCGTAGTATGATATGGCATGTCCTCCTCTGGTAGGTTCTGTGATGTCATGTCTGTTGACGGCCTGGCTCTGTACAGTATAGTACGATATGTAGTGTTCGTATGGTTCGCTATGCGCTGCAGTCGTGTTAAGAGATGTGCGAGAATGCTGTGTCATGGTATGATATGGTCTGTCAAGGTGTGTTATGGTATGTTCGGCTATGGTACGGTATGTTATGCCATGTCGTCGTATGTTATGTCATGGTTTGCTCTGGTATACTATGTGATATGATAGTATGCCTTAGTTGTTCATGAAACTTTTGCATGCTCGGTGGTGTCATGTTCTGTCATGCTCGTGTTCTGGTTTGTCATGTTCCGCTGTGGCATGTTGTGTTATGTCGTGTTCGTCTTCGTTCTGCTCTGCGATCGTGTTCTGATATGTGCTGTGATGATGTGCCATGATATGATGTGTTCTGTCACGGTGTGTTATGTTATGCTCGGTGTTGTTGTGTTATGTTATGTTATGTCGTCGTCTGGTATACCATCTTCTGATTTGGTATGTTATGTGGTGTCAGGTTATGCCGTGTGTTGTCATGGCATGGTTATGGATTGTCGTGTCCGTCATGCTCGTGTTATATTATGTCAGGTGATGTTGTTGTTTGTCGTGCTCGTCGTTGCTGTGATTTGCTGCCGTGATATGATATGTTATGTGATGCTGCGTGATATGTCATGTTATATCAAGCAGGGTGTGCTATTTTTTGCTCGGCTACATCATGGTAAGTCGTGGTATGTCGTCTTCTGTTCTGTAATATCCTGCTCTGGTGTGTGCCGTGATCTTCTGTCATGGTCTACTTAGTCATGACATTGATATGTTCTATTGGGTCATGTCCTGTCATGCTCTGTTCCGTTCTGTCATGTTATGTTCCGTCATGTTATGTTCTGCCGTGTGCGTCGAGTGCACGAGGCGGGACGCCCGGGACTCTCGGGGATCCTCGGGACGATTTGGGCACTGGCCGCTGCAGTATGCGGGGTGGAGTTGGCCAGGCACGAGGCGGGACACCCAGTATACAGTCGGTGCCCTGAAGAAGGAACGCTTTTCGTTGGGGAGGGGCTCCGCGTTCCTTAAGTGTTTCACAGCTTGCCTCAGGTTTTCCTTATGATTTCGATCGGGAATCGAAGTTTAACTCATGGAAAAAAGGGGCCTCGTTCCTTATTTAGCGTTCCTTAGGTCAACGCCCCCACTGTACTCGGGACTCTCGGGACAACTTGGGGTCTTGCGGCCGCGGTATGCAAGACTCCGAGGAGGAAAAGCTACCCATATACGGCTACCCTTCGCCCGTTCTCCACTTTCGGGGGCCTCCTCGGAGCCCCTCGTCGCCACCGTGGGATTCGCCTCGAACTTCTGGTCAGAGCGCACCCCGGGAGAGATCTGGGGAGCACCGGCATCGGTACCTCTTGGTTTCCCCAACGGTTGGGGTTGGCCCTGGCGCGAGGCGGGACACCCGGGGACCATCAGGACAATTGGGGGTCTGGCGCCCGCGGTATGCAGGGTGGGGTTGGCACGGGTGGGCTTGTTTTTGAAACTTAGCAACCCCAACCTGTGGGGTGGGGAAAAGTGAGGGGAAGGAGTCAAGGACGAGGACAAGGGAGCAGGGCGGAGGCAGGAGACGGCGTGACTTCGGGACGCCTGTCGCGTTCGACTCGTCATCGAATCGGTCATTGCTGCGCCTGTTTGTACCTGTGGTGAGCCTGACAACGGGGCGGCGCCGTGCAGCGGTGGCTATTGTATACGTGATGTTGTGCTGTAGTGTGTTTCGTTGGATTCTGCCTCAATGTAGTATGTGACACTGTGCTCTGTTACGCTCTGACCTCGACGGGCTGGCATGACCTCGTGACGCCTGGGCGAGTCCGTGGGGTGGTGGCTATTGTATACGCGATGTTGTACTATAACATGGTTGATCGGAGTTTGCCGCAATGCAGTATGTGATACTGTGTTATGTGATCTACCGCCGTTGCTGTACTCAAAAGTGTTCGACAATGTTCCATGTGGTAATGGTATACCATGTTATCTTATGTTATGACTGGTTATGTCTTCGACGGGCCAGCGTGACGTCGTGATGTTTGGGCGACGCCGTGGAGCGGTGGTTACTGCATAGGCGATGTTGTGCTATAGTGTGTCTGGTTGGATACAGCCCCGATGAAGCATGTGATTTTGTGTTCTGTGATGTTGTGATCTCGACTGGCCAGCGTAACGTCGCGATGCCTGTCACTTCCACAATGTTCCATGTAGTAACGCTCTACCATGTGACGCTCTATCATGTATTGTTATGTTCTCGACGGGTTGGCGTGACGTCGTGACGCGCGGAGTGGTGGCTACTGCATACGTCATGTTGTGCTATAGAATGAGTGCGTGCGTGTGGTAGGATTCTGCGCCAATGTACTACGTGACACTTTGTTCTGTGATGTTCTGATTTTGACGGGCCTGCGTGACCTCGTGACGCTTGTCACGTTAGGTACATCGTCGAATCGCTCATTGCTGTGACTGTTGGTTCCTGTGGCCAAGCTGACCCATATGTACGTACGGTACGCTATGTGATGATATCCCTCTGCGCTTCCGTTGTCTCTTCCGTTAAATTATGTTATGTCATCTTCGCTTCTGCCACAAAACGCCTTGGTATGTCATGTTATGTTCTGCCCTGCGGCACCATGTTAGGACATGATATGGCATGCCAGGCTATGTTGTAATATGCTATGTTCAGTGATGTTGTTGACGGTTCAGCTCAGTATAGCGTAATATGACATGTTTTGTTAGTATGTGTTGTTGTCTTGTTCTGTCGTGGTACTTCTCCCCACCACTTCACAATTACCGCTTCTGGATTCAAAACGGTCCAACCGTGTTCCATGTAGTCACACTAGTTCATGGTATGATTCAGTATGTCGTGTCGTGTCTTCCACGGGACTTTGTGACGTCGTGACGCTTGTAACGTTAGATGCGTTGTTTGCTATGAGGTTCCTCTGTATGTATCTGCGTAGTTTCTGATTGCGTATGTTATGTTGTGTCACCATATTGTTTGAGACGTTATGGCATTGTCTGCTCTGTGGGACTATGCTATGGCATGATATGTTATGCCAAGTTGTGTTCTAGTATGTTATGTTCCGTGTTGCTATTGGCAACTCGGCTCAGTCTAGTAGATTATGTGGTCCGTGATGTTGTTGACAGTTCGGCTTACTAAAATTTGCAAGGTGTATAATGTGATGTTCGGTTATGTTCTCTTCTAATGTGTGTCATGCCGTCTTCCGGTCTGCCATGTTCTACTCCAGTATGTTAGGTCTTGTTGTGTGTGTTGACGGCCAGACTCTGTATAGTAGAGCAGTATATGTTATGATGGGATGTGCCGATATGTTGTTGTCGTGTTATGATATGTTATGTGATGATGTGTCGTGTTATGAATTGTTATGTCAAGTTGTGCTACGTTATGATCGGTTATGGTATAGTGTGTTGTGTTAGGTCGGTGTCTGTTATGTCATGTTCTGGTATGGCATGTTGTGTGATGTGTTGGTATGGTCGGTCTTGTCATGGCAGTGTTATGTCATGTTCTGTCATGTTCGTGTTATGGTATGTCATGTTATGTTGCTCCATGCTGTGCTCTGGCGTGTTCTTCGTCGCTATGCTCTGATGTCGTGTTATGATATAGTATGCGATGATGTGCCATGATATGATATGCTATGTCAAGGTGTGTCATGTTATGCTCGGCTCTGTTATGTTATGTTGTGTTCTGTCGTGT